AGAAAAATAAAAATCTATCTTTTCAAAAATTTGTTTTTCATAATATTAAGTAAAACTGACTCTGAAGTGTATGCTATCCATCACAACAGAGAGAATGCTGTGTAATACATCCTAGGCAGATAGCAGAGACAATAGTTTTAATCAGGAATTGAAGTAAATTTCGCTACCAAAAAAAAAAAAATTATCTACTACGCCTGTCTCAAGAAAGTTTTCTTTGCAAAGGGCAAAGAGAAGTTGGTGTGATACCCTCCTCTTACTATTCCAGCTTTATTCTCAGGACTTTCTATGCATGGGTCAGTGGAGCCTAGAGGGGAAACTGAGTTAGGGGTGACTGTGTGTGCGTGCATGCATATGTTGATGTGTATTATGTGTCCAATGTGTGCGAGATTGTGGATTGGCGCGTCCAGGTGCATGTTAGACCATTGTGGGAAATAAGATTTGTAGAAGGAGGTAAAGGGTTGGGAAAGGAGAGAAGAACTGATCAGGTAGAGTTTCATCCTCTAAAAATTTAGGATTCATATCAAAGCTAACATAGTAAATACACTCCTTTCCATATTCCCTACGTGTACTCTTTGGTTTTGTTTTGCTTTGTGGTGAGAACATTTAACACAGAAATGTACCCTCAATACATTTTTAAGTGTACAATACAGTACTGTAAAATGTAGGCACGATGTCAATGATGTACAGCAGATCTCTAGAACTTATTCATGTGGCAGAACTGAAACTCTGTACTCTTTGAACAGCAATTGCCCATTTTCCCCTCTCCCTGGGCTCTGGCAGTCACCAATCTGCTCTCCACTTCTATGAGTTTGACGATTTTATAGGCGATAACATGGATGAACGTGGAGAACATTCTGCTAAGAGAAATGAGCCTGTCACAAAGAAACCAATACAGCATAATTGCACTGCACGAGGTGACTAAAATAACCTCTAGTTCTGAAGCAAGTCTTCTGAAAACTAGAACTTGCAAAGCTGAGTAGCGCCTGAGAGAGGGCTGGCCCAGTGTCTTTAAGGCATTCCTAAAGGGCCTTAACGCCCAGGGGGTGGGGCGAAGTTTCTGCTCCCTGCACCCACCACCAGACCTCAGAGGGAGATGATACTAAGGAAGCTCAAAAGTCAGCAAGGCCAGGGGTAGGGATCTTGATGCGGGAAAGGAAAATTATTGCACGGAGTTGAGAGGCTGTGATTCTCCTCCATGGGAGGTAAGGACCAGGTGTTTGGTTAGAGTGCAATGTTTTATTATCAGTTATTTCCTCAGTAAAATTATAGATGGGGAGGGGGAGGAAATGACACTTTAACAAATGAAAATTTGAGCAAACACTACTTAGGAGGATACACAAACCCTATGGACTGAAGCTGTCCTGGAAATACATCACTCAGAGCACCTGTAGTTCTTCTCTTGCTCTTTTCCCTCCCTATTTGCATTTTCCAGCTTGCACTCCCAAGTATCTCCTGGTAGGATTGGTTCCATCTCTGAACTGTGAGCTGCTCTGAACGTTAGTCATGGCTTATTCATGTTTATGTGCCTCCAGAGAACTTCACACAGCAGGGCCGCCAGCCCTCAACAGATATTTGTTGAACTGGATAGATTTTAAGAGGTGTCGTAGATTGAACACCAATGGAGAGAGTAAAGTCTTCAGGATTCAGGAGAACTGGCCGCTAGTGGACTTTTTATCCATGGGCAATCACTTTGGTCTCTATTCTTAGCTTCTTATTGGTAGATGGAGGAAGTTGCCTTACATGATCTCCAAGATAACTTCCTACTCTAACTGTCTGGCATAGAAAGTCTCGCTTCCTTTTCGGAAATGTAAAACTATATATCAGGTGTGATCACATCCTCCATAAATGCAGGAAAAAGTTCTCATGAAAAATGTACAAATAAAACTGTTTTTTGGAATAATGAAAGACTGAAGTGGCAATTAGTCCACCTAAACACGACTGCTAATATATTTTAGCTTTCTACTGTAAAAAGAAAATAAAAACTTGGACGACTCTCATCCAGTGCAAATTACTTCCTTGGACTGACAAGACATTCATTGTTCTGGAACACAGCACTTCATCCTAATCCACTAGGGTAATATTTGAAAAGTATTACCAAATGAACTTCCTAAAGTATCCAAGTTACTCTCACAGAAAAATAAAAATTATACCCAAGGAGAAATTTTCTGAATATGTAAGAATTGACTCATTATATTTATAAGCTGTTTATGTGCTTTTCTTTGTGAATATGTGGTTCTAATAAGTATTTAGTACTTGATACTCATGATTGGAGCTTTATCTTCTTCTGTCCTGTTCTCCAATATAGTTCTAAACATTTGAATAATCTGAGTATAAATGTCATTATGTAATTAAATTTAGAGGCATAAAATCCAGAGGCATGATTCACTGAAAAAATATAGTGGTTTTTGAAAAAGGAGAAAAACTTTCACTAAGAAGAAAATTCATCTGGAGTTTGCTCGCCATAGACATAAGGACCACAAGGCTTTAAGGTTACTGGAAGGACAAAGAAGACTACTGGAATCTAGGTTCTCCTTCTTTAAATCCTCATCCTGAACATCTCTGGTTCCTCACAACATTCAACCAGTAGAACCAGCTTTGGGCAACTGACCACTTGGACACTGAGGGATTGTGGAATAAGAAGGGGATGATGGCCTTAAGCAACAGCAATTTCCTGCCAAGTCTGGAGGTAGTTCAGAATCCACTAGGGGTTGTTGGGTGGTCCCCAGTCTCAACAATCATTTCATTTATGCAAGTGAACTAATTCTCAGGATATGCTTCCCTCTGCCTCCCAGATGACTGACTCCAGAGGGTTCTCTAGGCACTGGCCATTAGGCTTCATTGCTGGACAATTCTGAGATTCCCACCTGGGCTCACCACCACCCTGAGAACCTCGAATCACCCCAGGACCCTCTGATTCTCTCCCTGAAAAAGGGATCAGGTCTTTTAGCAAGGATCTGGGAAAAACCACCTGCAGCTTAGGGTCCACAGAGGCACCCCTGCTCTCCTCCGCATCTCTGTAAATTAAAGGTAAGAAAGACAGAACTGTGCTAATCATTCCGGATCCACTTTTACTGATGTAATCACTAATTAGCCCTGAAGAATGAAGGAGGGTGGGAGGTGCTCCTGCAGTGACAATGCCACTCACCTACTAAGAAGCACCGACCGGAACCCCCTGTGCCCCGGTCTTTTTTTTTTTTTTTTTTTTTTCTCCTAACAGGAATTTCTGAGAATGATAGTAAATCAAGGCCTGGAGCGATGAGTGGTTGTTTTCGGGTATCTAATTCTCCTTTAAGCAGGAGGAAGAAGAGAAAGTGTAGGCACAAATTTTGCAAATCTTAGGAAGAAAAAAAAAAGCTCAATTTTCTGCCACAGTTAACACTTTCTCGCCCTGCCTTCTTAAAGTAAAGCGAAGGAAGTTCCAATCACCCGGGATTAAGGGACAGATTGCGGGCACCGATGAAAGGCGCGCGGAGAAAGGGAGAGCCCTGGGCTCGCACACAAAGGAGCGGAGTTCCCAGGCGGCTGGCGGCCCTGCCCGGGGCACCGAAGCACTCAGGGCGCAGGGGCGCGCCAGGAAGCGCCTGCGGCTCCCCGGCTGCCCGGCCCCTCTGCTGGTGGCTGGGAGAAGTTAGTCACCCGGGGCCCGAACCCGACGAGCGTCCCAGCGCGCAGAGGCCGGGAAATGAGGAGGGAGGAAACCCGGTACCCGGGCGGCTGGAAGGAGGCGAGAAGAGCGCGGGGCGAGGGGGCGCACGGGAAGCTCAAAGCCCTCGGCTGGTAGATGGAGTTGCAAGGTCTTCGAGACCCGAGCGCAGGGGCGTGCGAAGAGGAAAAACTTGCGGCGGGAACTTCCTACCGAGGGAAAGAAAAGCAGGAGAGAAGGAAGCAGGGAGAGACTTGAAATGTCTCAGTAACTTTAAAAACACACCAAAACACCCCTTGCAAGAGATGAGGTAAGCCGGGGTTAACCAACCCCGATTGGTTGTGAAATATCAGACAAACCCGGAGCCACTGTGGCTTTAAATGAGGCCAAGTTAATCTGTTTTTCTTACCCCAATACTTTTTTTTTTTCCCCCTCGCCCTCGCTCCCTCCCTCGTCCCTCCTTCCACCTCGCCGGGTCCTTCTCGGTCTCCCTTTCCTAGATCACCCCCCTCGCCCGCCCTCCCCCATCTGATTAGGCGCGGACCGGGAAGGGTGGGAGGAGTGGGGGAAGCTCTCCCTTTAAGAGGCAGCTTGCAGTGACGAATTGTTGAAATTGCCATTGCAGGATGGCATGCCGCTATAAATTCATTGTTCCACCTCCTCGCATCTTCACAGCGCTCGCGCTGCTCTCGGCGCTCGCAGCGGCCGACTGGGGATGACCGCGGGCAGGAAGACACTGCATCCGAAGGAGCACGGACGCGCCGCTTCACTGGCTCCCCGCAGGCCGCCCCTTACATTTTTTGTTTTAATTTTTATGGCTTTTTTTCTCTCTTTCTTCCCGTCCTCCTGGTTCCAGTAGAGTCAAGGAAACCCACAAAATAAGAAAGGAAGTGGGCTCCGGAGCTTGGAACCCCCGCCGCCGGCGGGTCCAGAACAGCAAGGGGCGGGAGGCAGCGCGCACCAGTTGCCCGCCTGGTGCGCGGCACCATCCTTACTTTTCTTCGTGCCGCGATAGTGGCTGCACTTGGGGTTGGATTTAGGTTGTTGTTGTTGTTGTTTTCCCCCTTTCCTCGTATTTGCGGAACCTCCACAACCCGGCTTTTCTCTTAATTTTTTCCCTTTTTTCCGGAGCACAAATCCAAACATTTTCCAAACCAACAAAGAAAAGTTCGCACGCTGGCACTGAGGCTGGGACAGGCTGGCGCTGCCGCCGGGTCCCCCTCCTTCCGACACTTGACTCAACCTTGCAAGCAAGTGTGTGTGTGTGCCCCCACCTCCCGCCCCGGTAACTTCCATAGCGAATAACAAATACCCATAAAGTCCCCGTCGCGCAGCCCCTCCCTGCGGGCAGCGCACTATGCTGCTCGGGTGGGCGTCCCTGCTGCTGTGCGCGCTCCGCCTGCCCCAGGTCGCGGTCGGCCGCGACGCGGCACCTGCCCAGGATAAAGCCGGGCAGCCTTGGGCTGCTGCAGCTGCCGCCCAGCCCCGCCAGCGGCAGGGGGAGGAGGCGCAGGAGCGGGCCGAGCCTCCGGGTCACCCGCACCCCCTGGCGCCGCAGCGCAGGAGCAGCGGGCTGGTGCAGAACATCGACCAGATCTACTCCGGCGGCGGCAAGGTGGGCTACCTCGTCTACGCGGGCGGCCGGAGGTTCCTGCTGGACCTGGAGCGGGATGGTTCGGTGGGCGCCGCTGGCTTTGTGCCTTCAGGAAGCGGGCCGAGGGAGACCCGGCGCCACGGGGACCACTGCTTCTACCGCGGTACGGTGGACGGCAGCCCCCGCTCCCTGGCGGTCTTTGACCTCTGCGGTGGTCTCGACGGCTTCTTCGCGGTTAAGCACGCGCGCTACACCCTGAAGCCGCTGTTGCGCGGGCCCTCGGCCGAGGCCGGGCGAGTGTACGGGGATGGGTCCTCGCGGATCCTGCACGTCTATACCCGCGAGGGCTTCAGCTTTGAGGCCTTGCCACCGCGCACTAGCTGCGAGACTCCCGCGTCCCCGCCGGGGCCTCGCGAGCGCCCCCCGGCGCACAGCAGCGCAGACGGACGCTGGGCGCTGGCCCCGCAGTTCCTGGACCAGTCGGCTCCCTCCTCCGACGGAGGCCAGGGACCCCAGACGTGGTGGCGGCGGCGGCGCCGCTCCATCTCCCGGGCCCGCCAGGTGGAGCTTCTCCTGGTGGCTGACGCATCCATGGCGCGCATGTATGGTCGGGGCCTGCAGCATTACCTGCTGACCCTGGCCTCCATCGCCAACAGGCTGTACAGCCACGCCAGCATCGAGAACCACATCCGCCTGGCCGTGGTGAAGGTGGTGGTGCTGGGTGACAAAGACAAGAGCCTGGAGGTGAGCAAGAACGCGGCCACCACGCTCAAGAACTTTTGCAAGTGGCAGCACCAGCACAACCAGCTGGGGGATGACCACGAGGAGCACTACGACGCGGCCATCCTGTTTACGAGAGAGGTAAGTCCAACCTGCGTGGGTGGTCCAGGAGCTGGTGCAAGGAGGTAGGTGGAGGTCCAGTCTTGCTCACGGCCTCGCTTTTCCCACAGACCTCCTGCCTCTAAGGATGTGCTTCACTGCTCCTTGCAGGAAACCCAGCCAGCCTTCAGCCCTGCTCGGTAGTCAGGGTCTCCCAGCAGCAATTCCTGCCTTCAATGATTAGCACTGCACTGACAATCCATCAATCAGGCAGGCTGTTTCTAGTCTGAGACATGGTGTCCTAGATGCATAAATGGATAAGAAGGGACTGGAATGTTTGGGAAAATGTACATAGCTAAATGGGAAGAGGGGGAAAGCAAGTTTGTCTTTGGAATGGGCGATCTCTCTCTCTCTCTCTCTCTCTCTCCCCCCCTCTCCCCCCTCCCCCTCCCCCTTCCTTTCTTTCTTGTTTTGGTGGGGGAGTTCCTCTACTTGCCAGTGAACCTCAATATACAACTTTGTCCAACCTAATGGGAAGGGTTTTGTTGGTTCATCCACTGTAGTCACTTTGATCCACACCTTTCCTTTGTAAAGGTCCATACCTTCTTCCTTGAATCACTTCTGTGACATAAGTTGAGGAAAGACTTTCCAAGGGAAGGACTCTTTTTCCCAATCTGGCTTTTTAATGGAGTTCTTACATGTCCACCTGGTGGAATTTCAGTTTCCGGGAAGGAAGGAATTCAGGAGGGCAGGGAGGCAGGGAGGATATGGAAACTAATCCTGTCAGGTTCCTTAGCAACTCCTCTGCCTAGCCCAATAACGCACCACAAGCACTGCCGGTCCCTCCAGAGCTGCCAGGGAAGGGTCACATCCAGCTTGCATGTTTGGGGTTTGGATGAATATGTTTCTGAAGCCCCAGTGTGGAAAGATCTGGGCAAAGAGTCAAGACATGAGGAAGGAATGTTTGCCCAGGATTTCCCTCTTTTAAGGAAGATGGTTACAGGACGGGAAAGAAACTGATCTTTATAGGCCCAGAGGTTCTGGGCGGAACACAGTATCTATTTGCTCAATCATTCCATCACCGCGCTAAGTGTGACTTTCAGACACAGAGTCTGGGCTGGTTTGGAGCCTTGGCTTGCTCAGAGCTCTGAGCCTACTTCATGACTCTCCTCTGATTGGCAGCTTTAAGTCATGCCTCTTGGAAACCTGGTAAGAGCTGCCTTTTAAAGCTCATTCTTTATTTTATTATTATTATTATTATTATTATTATTATTATTATTATTTGTAGTGTTTGGGATCCACCCAGGGTAGCTGAAGGATTCTGAAATTTTGAAGTGTCATGCAAAAGCGTGGTATGAAATGGGGCACCCAGAGCTAGGATAGGAAATGCACTGATGGCTTGTAGAAAGCTTCAGAATCACACAGCCCCACTACCTAATTCTCTGTTTTTACTGAGGCACCGCTGGTATGAAGGAAAAGTGTCGATAAATTTGGAAAGGAGAAACACTTGTGGTCCATGGGGTGGTTTACATAAATGTAAACCACATGTAAACAAGGGTGCCAGAGGGCAACAGTTTAGGAAGAAGCTGCCAGCCCACGATGCTAGGCACGATGGAAAATCTGCCTTCTCATTAAGTGATCTAAAAACCATCCTTTAATTTCTCTGCGCTACATAAATCTTTGACACGGAAGAACATTTGTTTTTTAGCCTTCCATATGAAGTGGAGTTCTCCTGTAAAACTAGCCCTTTCTTCTTTGGTTTCCAAGTCTTTTTCTTTTCTTTCTTTTTTTTTTTTTTTTTTTTTTTTTTTTTTTTTTTTTTTTTTTTTTTGGTAAGCAGTTTTCCACGTCTGGATTTCTTGCTTTGCTGCATCACAAGAAGCTGCCAAGAAGAAGGCTTCAGAGAGTTTGTGGAAGAAAGTTCTCTAAAGACAGAGGAAAAAATACTTTTGTAAGCACACTACTCCAAAGAGTAGGTCATTTTAATAGTTCAGTTTCATTTTTGAATACAAATGCACATTCTGCAACTCTTAAGACAAATAAAAATTCATAGAAGACCCCATTCCTGCCTACCTCCTGCCCCAGCATTTTCCTTCTTCCCAGAAAAAAAGGAAAACTAGTCGGTGGTTCTGAATGATCTGTCTGCTGCTTTTTCTGGATTTGTGTTTTATTTGGATAGTTAGCAATTCTTATTTTCCAAGTTTTGAAACATATCAGTACATTTTAAGTAGATAAAAGCAAGGGAGAAAGAAATTAACGGTCTATCTTAATGTTAATAAGTATTATAATAACATACATTTTCCAAACTAGTCTGCACATGGAAAATATTTTACACGGGCCTTCCCTGGCCTCCCTGCCAAGCAGAAGGATACTTTTGGTAAAGCAAATCTCGTTTAGCTTGTGGTTGGCCCTCTGGTATATAAATCTAACTTGAAGGGAACCAAATATTTGAAAAAGCATGTGTATGGTGAATATATATACTTAATTTAAAAGAATGCTGTTAATTAGGGGGCTGAGAAAAATATTACAAGACCCTTTCGCAGCACTCATTAAGAGTACTTCAAAATGTAAAGTTAAGCTCCATCTAATACTTCCAGCTGTGGAAAATGAGAGGACTAGAGCAGAAATAATCTGAGCTCTTCTACCATAGAAATCAGATATCTTAAGACCTAAAAAAAAATGTTCATGACTATTTTTTTCTTCAATGAGAAATACCCTGAGTTGGCACCAGGATCCTACTTTTACAACTCTGTTTTGAATGTAAGAAGTACGTTGCTTAGCAGCCAGACGCCAAGCCATCAAATCCATGTTTTGATGGGCTCTGAGCACTGTTCAAATTTTGTGTCCAGATGTCTTCTCTTAAATTGCTTGTTTTTCGGGCATGAAGCAAACGTGTGAGGATATGTCTTCCACCCCTGTTTACTAGCCCAGGCCACCTTGAACGTTGTGTCTGGGAGTCAGCAGAATAGTGCTAGTAATTCTTTTATCAAACTAACACACTTCACCGAGCCCCAGCACTCTAATTAGAGAAACTTAGCACCAGCCAATTTTCTGGAATAGGAGCCGTTTTCATTCTGAAATAGCACTCATGCTGGAATTCACACCACTTCTGCCATCAAACAGTAGAAATCTGATCTCCTCGGGATTTAATTTTGCTTTCCAGAATCCTTTCCTTGTCCCTGGTTTCCTCTTTTATTTTAAAATAGGTTCTTCAAAGACATACTCTTAAACCCACTTTGGAGATCACGCATTCTTCTTTAGAAACAAAAGCCCTACCTGGCGGATGATAAAATCAGAGATTGTTTAACGTCCCCTCATCCCAAACCTCACATGAATCAAAAGCCTTGGACTGAAAATGAACCAGCTACAGACTATGCAAAATACAAGGTCTACTCACTTTCATTAACTATGACTGTGCCAGTTAAAAGGCAATTGTCTCTAACACCTCTCTTTATGGTCTGCCTCTCTTTATGTTCTGGGTCCCACAGAGAGCATTTCTCCTCTACCCGCCAGCGCTTTGTTAGGTTGTGACAATAGAGAGCCCTGAAGGGGGAGACCAGAAGCTAGGAGGAAGAAGAAGGATGTACGGCTTATTTGCTTGCTGACTAGATCGACTAATCCAATTGCATATTTGAGTTCAAATCCCATTTAAAGTCTGAAGTGAACTCTTAGCCGGTATTCCTAGCCTATAGATCGATCCCAATCAATATAAATCTAAATAACTCAGAAATGGGAAGACTGGGAGCAGATTAAACAGCTCTAGTTGACATTTTAAAAACACATGTGAATTGCAAGCTGCTAAGAGAATAGATCTTAAAGGTTCTCATCACAAAAAAAAAATTGTAACTATGCATAGTGATGGATATTAAAGAGACTTATCGTGGTGATCGTTTCACCACATAGACATATATCAAATCATCATGTTGTACCTAAAACCAATATAATAAGTCAATTATACCTCAATGGATAAATAAATAAATAAATAAATAAATAAATAAATAAAGTGAAGAATATTCTGAAAAATCTAATGTCCGTTACAGACAATATACCACAACACACAGGAGGATGTACGTCATGATCGTCTCTCTCTCTCTCTCTCTCTCTCACACACTTTTGGTGCATAGCTAGGAGTGCCCCCTATGTGTGAGGCACTCGTTTATGCCGCTGAAGGCAGCAAGACAGAATATACCTGTTCCCTGCTCCGGGGCTCGTCACTAGGGGAAAGGAAGCAGATGCACGCACGAGTCTCTCTAATGTTTGGAAAACTGGGGTAAATGTTGTGACTAAGTTGTAAACAAAGTCTGTGAAAAGAGAGGGGAGGAGTAATCAATTCTACCAATGGATCTTTATATAGGCTTCACTACAGATGTACAATTGAATTGGCACTCAAAGGATGGATAGCTTTTATTTGGATTCAGCCAGCTTTTATTGAGCATTTCTTAGGTGCTATCCATAATCATAAACCACTTTACAATTAATCCAGTCTATTATCTGCACCCATACTATCATCATAATTGGACAGATAAGGACATTCATGAAAAGAGATAGTCTTCTAAGAGTAATGACTGCCAAATGGCAGAGAGAGAATGTAGTCTTGTCTAGTGCTCTCTAAACAAAATATTATATCTAATTTATTCAGACAGAATAATAAACAGAGAGGGATTCAGAAATTTGAAATGTAACCCCTTTCATAAGAATCTGTTCCAGGAAACAGGCAAGGAAATGGATAATTGTTATATAGCATGATGATTTTTATGATACATGTGGTCGTTAGATATCATGGAAAGACATTAGAAGGTTGACTAACCTGTCTGGGTTCAATTTGGAAGAAGGTCTAGGAGTTAGCCAGGCCCATAAGGAGGACCTAGGCTTGCAGACATGCCCAGCTATCCTGTGCAATGGCCCAGAGGCAACATGTGAAATGTAGGGGGTTAGGAGTGTTAGCTAGACAATATGAGGACAGAAGGGTGACAAGTACAGTCTAGAGAAGATGATAGCAACTAGATTATAGAAGAAATTGTGTGGAGAGAGAGGAGTTCTCT